TTCACCAGTTGCTCAACTGTTTCCGCCAACTTTTCACACTTTTTCATTTGGAAGATTACACTACTAACGACAGGAATGTATTTGCACACCTGGCAGAACCAAAATGCTTCGGTTTTGCTGCTGTATTTTCTAGTTTTTAGTACCCTTAGCCCTGAAGACTTCGAATGGTACGCTTTTTGACAGTTAAAGCAAACTGGACCAGACTTAACAGTTTTTACCTGTAGGTCACAATTGGTTTTCGTATGGGCCATATCCACTTGAGACGTGTACTTCGTTATTTTGACTTGCACCAATTCCAAAAGGGATTCGATAAAATAGGAGAATTCCGAGTCTATGTTGTAGATCTCTCACTTATCACTAGCTTAGAATGGATAATTCTACTGAATTATGTGGTTACTGTCAGTAATGGGGCAGCGAAGTGGGAATGACCGCAGATGGTGTTGATATGGTGTAGATATTCACCACTAGCAAGATGGGATGGAGTAACTGGATGTGTACACTGCAATAGGGGTAACAAGAGGATAGTGAGACTGACGCACCGTGTATGAGTTCGCTTCAGTTTTCGTTGCACGGCGATTGGCGCTGGTTTGAGGTCAGGGGGGGGCAGATGTGTGGCGTCCAGATGAGTCACCCGTTCCTTAGGGTAGATAGGCGACGTGCGTGCTATTGATCCAGCAGATAAGTGGATAGGTAGCGATGCAACGTAGGACTGAGGCAAGGCAGAACGACTTGGAAAATACTGTCTATTGACGACAGTGGCTGCACAAAAGGCGGACCAAATTGACAACCATCGCTACTATGGCGACTAGAAAGAGTGGTAGTAAGATGCTCGGGTGCCTCTCAAAAAGATCTTTAAAATAAGACCACCAGGGTTCTTGTGCGACGAGAAGCAAAATAAATTGTCCGATAAAATTCAAGCACGGTTGACTTCCAAGCTGCAAAAGCACAGTTTGCTGCTGATCCAGGAATAATAGAACCAAAAGGTGAACAGTGGTAGGAGGAGCTCGCGGAGCCCAATCGACTGCTAGTACGTAGGTCACTGTGAGAATAAATCCGAAGATTTCAGGGCGAATAACGCAGGAGAACACTTTTTTGCTACCGCTCGGGGTAGCAGCTCAGATTTATGAAGTGTCAACCCTTCTGGACGTTGCTCAGTGCTTTCAAAGCATATACCAGCAGCCCAACACAGAACACAAGCCATAAGGGTCGCTACACTCTAACCGTAAGTATGGAAGTCAGTCGATGTCTCTGGAGGGTGATGCTTTTCTATGATTACAAATGGGGTTTAAAGCATCATCAGCGTATTGATCGATAGTGTACTGCGTTTGGTGATGAGGTGCATTTAAGAATCACCATGGTTGAGTAGTTTGCGGTATCCAAGCATGGCACGCGGTCCCTGGATGATAGGCACGGTGTTGTGGACCTGGGGGCTACCAGCACGTACAACATGGATGTCGTGGAAGCGATGTTGGAGGAGGATACGCAGGTGACTGTGGCACAGCTGGGGCAGTCATGGGGACCTCCTCGAGATCAATCCGCAAAATCCTAAACGGTAGTCTCGACCTCAGGAAGGTTTGCGCACACTGGGCACCCTAGCAGCTCAGTGGGAACCAGAAAGCAGCTCAGGTGAATTAATACCGCCCCATGTTAAGCAGGATTGATGGTGGACGTTCCAATGCTGTTCGATAGATCCTCTGGGCTGAGGAGACCTTGGTTTACAGTTTCAACTCAGAGAACAATCCATAATCTGATCAACGGATGACTGTTGTTGGGGCGCCGCATTAGAAATTCCAGCGTGAACGCAGTGTGACCAAGCAGATGATGGCCGTTTTCATGGACAGTGAGCAGTGTTAGTTGGCGAAAAGTATCTTATCCTAAAAATTTCAGCTTCTGCTTGATCCCTCTCTGATCGGTCCAGCCTAAGTTATGACTTGTTGGAAATAAATGGGCGGGAAACTCGACTTTTGATGACCGTTTGCTTGCGTCAAGGTGTGGTGACTATTTAAAACCGTATGGCCAATTTAAGGTCAGAGATTATAGATGGTTTTATTTTTGTTTGGACACCCGTTCACGACCCTTACGAACGCAGATCGGGTGATGGTCACCTGTTCGAATTCGCACAGGTGTACTCGACCTCGTGGCATACCCAGCCCACGCACGAAAGGTGTTGGCCGCGTGCCTCCGAAGCGTCGGTGCGGTGTGCCAGCGTACTGCTGACGCCCAGTAAATGCAGGAATTGATCACTTTGACGAGGCAACCACCAACTACCTGACTTAGTAAGTGAGGCTGTACCAGCAATTGTTGCTCGGTGATCCTGAAACCCGGTGGCGTGTATGTCAACTGTTGGACAAATACCGTTCGCATAGCACCGTGCAACAACCTATCCACAAAGCGGGCTTGCCAGCAGTTGGGTATGAACCTCGGGTTAGCCGATAGGTGGGACTTACCGACTAATGTGGTGTTCATACGTAATCTTTGGCGATATTGGTTATTCACAACTCAACGCCGTTATCCCACATAATAATGTCATCCTTTGTTCCATGTTAGTAGAATGAGATCACTTACATCGCTGATGTACTAGCAAATTACTGCATACTACTTGTTGTATGTGGATGCTATGTTGGTCTTCTGTTCGTCTGAACAGTAGCTGATGCAGTTGGTGAACCAGCATGTGGGCGAACATGCCACCTTGTAGGTTATTTGTGAAGTAGAACAGAAGAGCAGTTCTTCATACATGGACATCCTTATGTGTCGCAGGAATGACGGACTCACTAAGAGGTCCTTCTACAAAAAGCAACATGGTGGATGTAGTGGCTGCAGTTCCGCATCTTCACACCAGTGCGATGCAAAACGAAAAATTAACGGAAGTCATGCTGGACAAAGTCACTTGATTGATTATCTTACCGACGAGCTAGGATGGTTGAGTGCAACTACACGCATGGTGTATGGTTACCCAACCAAAATTATAGAGAAACAGCCACATCAAATTCCGAAATAATTGGTGCACACGGCAATCAGGAAAAGATCTCTACGAAGTTGTCCATCAAGGATGACTTCTCTACATTGAAGCTCACTAATCGTTTAATATCTGGCACACCATGCAGTCACAGTGTTGCTCAACTTTTGATCATTAACTGATCACAAAAGTTGCTGGTATCTTCAACGTAGGAATCACTGCGCACGGGGGCCAACTCAGGCTGCATTTACTAATTTGTGTCTGACTGCGGAGCACATGACAGCAGATTCTCTGACTCTCCGAATCAAAGAACATGAGCCAAGTTTCAGTGTGAAATCAACCGACATGCCTGTCCCAGTAAAATATGCTCGCGCTTCCTCAACACCTACTGGTCACGTCACACGGAACAAAGTTGGCTTCAGCGTTCATAATCGCATTACGTCAAGCTAATCCTCTCTTCCTTCCTTTCACCGAAACTATGGGTTATAGAACAAATATATGTTACGTAGAAGGTAGAAGTCACGATTAAACTCCACACGAAAATCTGCCTCGACGGGGAATCGAACCCCGGTCCACGAATTTCCGCTCCGCTGCTCTACCACTGAGCTACCGAGGGCTGACGATTAGGTGCGGAATTTAACACGTGACTTCTGCTTATTGCGCGACGTATTGCCAATGAGCTCACAGTAACTGTCCTGGTGTTGCAGATCGGCTCACTCACTCGTCACTTCCCAGTGGACCGAAGTAACTGTCCATCCGAAGTCCAAAGGGCGATGGTAGATTATTTGAAGGATGTTTGTGAGTAACGTAAGTTTCATAGAAGGTAGAAGTCAAGAAACTATGAAACTTACGTTACTCACAAACGTCCTTCAAATAATCTATCATCGCCCTTTGGACTTCGGATGGACAGTTACTTCGGTCCAATGGTAAGTGACGAGTGAGTGAGCCGATCTGCAACACATGGACAGTTACTGTGAGCGCAATGGCAATACGTCGCGCAACAAGCAGAAGTCACGTGTTATATTCCGCACCTAATCGTCAGCCCTCGGTAGCTCAGTGGTAGAGCAGCGGAGTGGAAATTCGTGAACCGGGGTTCGATTCCCCGTGGAGGAAGATTTTCGTGTGGAGTTTAATCGTGACTTTTACCTTCTACGAAACTTACGTTACTCACAAACATCCTTCAAATATATGTTAGCTCAAATCTGTCATGGACATAGGAGTGGAAGTTCGATTAGTGACTTTGCGCCTCTGTTTTGTGTGATCACACCCACGGTTTAGTACATAATTGCACATCGGCTATTGTTAGTGGTATTGTGAAAACATTACAAAATGATTGCATATACCAGCTTTTATATTCATTCTGTGCGTTTCTGACAACTAAGTTTGGGATAAAGCACTACATTTGTCCTTGCCTAGCCTGAATATTACGCCGGAATGCAGCTTGTAACATTAATCGGACAGCATCATCTTTTGGAACGTTTTTAAGGAAGAAGGCTAAGGTCACCTATATAGCCAACACGTAGGCGATTAATCAACACAACTCTGCTAGTAAATAATAGCCCCTAGTTGTAAACACTAAGATAGTTTATTTAAATAGTCTATGTACATGGTGTCTAAGCGAAGTATGACAACATTGATGCACCAGGATAGTTATGGGATTCGAATCGAATCGACAGTAACTCAAGGGAAGGTGGGCGTGATTTGAACTCGACAACGACGCACATGGGTGCCAGACTATTAAAACAATCGCATACTGGTGAATGTAGCCAGACTATTTGGATTGCCGGGGCACCTGATAAAAGTAAATATTTTGTAAGGATTATATCATTATATATTAAGCGAACGGAGGACTTATCAGTCAGGCACACTTTATCCATATTTTGCATGGGTATCATTGTAATGTTTTTGCTCTTTCTGTAGACTACAACTGGTAAAATCGTCACTTATACATATGAACTACCATGTAGTCCAAATGTAATCCATACTACAAATTGTGCTTTCTGCAGTTATGCCTTTTCTGCCTTCTTGTCCCGCCTTCCTACAGGTCTTGCCAAATAATCCGCGAAGCCATCCTTAACAACGATTTCTTGCGACACTTAGATGAGGCCCAGGTGGAAGAGATTGTCCAATGTATGTACAGAAAGGAAATTGCCCAAGGCGCCTACATAATACGTGAAGGCCAAACCGGAGATGCGCTTTACGTAGTTGCAGGTGAGTCTTGTGAAGAGGGCTAAATACATTCGTAAATTCAGCCCCAACTCCATGTTTTCGCGAAACTTTGTTAGCTGTTTTGAGCGCAAGTCATCGCTGTGCTGGTCCGAATTATTATGTGAACTGTAATCGTTGCTCTAAAAACGAAATGACTAATGAGTAGACGGCTTTGAGTATGATTGTAGCTGGTTCATCGCAATCAGATTACTTGCCGCAAAGATGAGCTGCCAATCCGGCAAAGCACTTGCCGATCGGTTCACCCTATTGGGGTTCGTCAGCGGTGCGCATTCCATTGAACCCTGCTGCGTGGCTTCACGGCACTGGCATGTGTAGTCCTGAGCCGGACAGTCAAACACTGCCCTCTGCACGAGCATTAACTTGCAAGGCAGCAGAGAATGTCTCGGGCGATATGGCAGTTAGGTACCAAGCAGTGACGGTCTGCTAACGTCTTCCATGACTCTGTAGCATGAGCTGCTGGCTAGTGGTTCAAGCCGCAAGCGGTCATGGGTTTGACCACCAGCAAGGACCGAGGGAATGTGCACCCTTGCAGAGTTCCAACAAGGCGAAATGATCGTCTGGTGCTTTTCCGGATTGGTAGCTTACCTACGGGTCCCGGGATCTAATTGATATGAACCTAATTAAAAGCGAACTTAGAATTACAACCCAAGAGCACGAAGTGAAGACTCATCAATAACAAAACCTGTTCATACTATTAAACTTTTGGTCCACTACTGACTGTACCAGCTTACCATCCTTTTCTTTTTAGTTGCAAGTCTGTGAGATTGCTGTCTTTCAGGGAGTGAAGTTGTGCGTTGTTTCTTCACTAAGTTTCCATCTAGATCTAGTCCTAATATACAGGCGTTCTTGGAACCTTACCGAGTAGACAGCTTTATTTGATGTCAGCTTTGCGTTTATTCGCAAAAAAGCTGTTCTTGTGAACGCTTGCGTTCAGGCAAAGGTACTTTAATCATGGTAGCAAAATCCGAGGAAACTGCAGTTGTTCTTGTGATGAGTGCTATTCTCCCATTTTGCGTTAACTGTTCCGGAACTAGAAGATTGCCGTAATGTGAAAACTTTCATTATCTCATTCTCAGTAACAGAGGTGAATCGTCACACTCAAAATTTAGCATGTGTGAACTCCGACTAAAGTTATATGCGGGGTTTTACCCATCGTAATTGCAGCTAGTTCATCATCTGGGAGCTGCTACCAACAGATCCCCTAGTAAATGGTCCCAAGGCTTGACTAACTTTACCAGTGGGCATATGATAGTCCTTAGATAGACTGCAATGCGACTTTGTGAGTACACTTCTGAGATGGGATTTCCTCACCAATGCTTTTTGAGTCAAACCGAACCCTTCTTCTCAGTAATGGGGTAGAAATCACAATTCATCAGTTAACCCAGGCTTCCGACTAAGGTTTCGTTCTAACTGACTTCCAGGAGAATTCATTGCGAAGGAACTTTGAGAAAGTACTAGCAAGAGCCAACTGCATAATTGTCTTACTGAAAGAGAAACGATTGAAAATCACCTAGCCGCAGAAACGGACACTCATTCTCCGAACAAGGCAAATGCATGTGTGCGAACAAATGGGCATCCTATTGTCATGCTACAAATGTATGGCAGAATACGACTTATATATTAACTTTTGTTCTGTACTGTCTGTCCGGTCTGCTGCTGCTAAACCTTCGCAATCTATAAAAAAACGACAAAAGGACAATCGAAACTGTCAGGTTCTACGTAAGTATAGATCACTAAAACGGACACATATGCTAGGGATATATCGCCCGAGTAAATGAGTCCAAGTACGTCAACACTGAGTTGTTTCGCGCTCTCTCATCAGCATCGTGGTCAATAGCGACAAGATGGTGCTCTACCATGACCAACGTTATTTTACAGATCAAAGAAATTCCTGCTGCAGGCTGACGATATTAACAGAATGACAATGTTTGACTATCAGTTCCCGCGAAATATTTTCATGGTTTTATGCAAGGTCACTCATGCATTACGAACCTGCTTGTGACGAGGCATGAGTGGGGGAAGTCCGTCGACGTGATATTCATCGATTTCAGTAAAGCGTTCGACAAGGTCAGTCATGAGGTCCTCCTTCACAAATTCAGCATGTGTGGTGTCGGTGGCTCACTGCATTGGTTGATCCGCGACTTTCTTGTTGGACGAAAGTGGAGGGTACAGGTCGACGACCATCTAACTGACTGGTACCCCTCTACAAGTGGCGTGCCTCAAGGCACTGTGCTGCGGCCCACTCTGTTCCTGATCCACATCAACGATCTATCGCAGCTTCTCCGGTCGCCGTGTGCCTTGTTTGCGGACGACATGAAGATTTGGAGAGAAATCGACGCTCCCGATGACTGTGGCCTACTTCAGCAAGATCTCAACCGCTTATCCACATAGTCTGCAGAAGTTCTTCTCCCGGTCAACCCAGCCAAGTCTCTATTTATGAGTCTGGGGAAGTGTAGTGATGGTCGAATCTACACCCTTGACGGCCAAACGCTATATACCACACCGTAGGTGAAGGACCTAGGTGTACTCTCGCGCTACTATTTGAAGTCCGTGGACAACACGAACAGTCTATATCGTAACGGACTGCGCATGCTTTGGGCGCTCAAACGTAGCTTCGGCACATGGTCTGAAGAGGTTGCCACTCGCCTGTGCTCTTCTATCATTAGACCAATGCTAGAGTACGGTTCACCCGCTTACTTTCCGATTACCTGACGCGAGACACAAAAGATCGAACAGGTCCAACACGTTGCTACCAGGCTCATCCCGAGTTTACGAGGCTTGGGGTATGAAGACCGAGAAACTAGGACTCTACACCTTGTCCTATCGTCGGATGCGAGTCGACCTCATTATGGCCTACCGTATTCTACATCTCGGTGAATTCCCCATGCTGATGTCAATGCTGCATTTACGAGGGCCATGCAGCACATGCGGGCACAGATACAAACTTGTCGTGTCGGATGTGAAGCGAGTTCCCCACCTACTGTGCTTCGAAAGGAGAATGGTAAATATTTGGAACAGTTTGCCTGAACATGTGATTGAGGCAACATCTGTGCAACAGTTCAAAACGTTGTTAGATTTGTATTTTGCCACTATTCGATTCAGAGAACGACTGCACACTTACGATGACATCTCACATTCGTGAATCCTGCAATATCGTAAGTCAGATATTTTAAATGTTACATGAGAACGACAACGATATTCACGGTTGACAACTTTATAACGTTTTTCACCATATTTCGAAAGAGTTGTACAGAATTCATTTCTACTTACTCTCTAATGTAGTATTCAGTATTCAGTATTCAGATTGTCGAGTGACCAGAGGTTCATCAAACAATATCTAGCAACCAATCATCTATTGCCTCACTGGAATACCTGATTTGGTCAGTATTTACTCCGCCTCGGCTTATGTAGTTTAACTGTAGTGAGTCAAATTGGGCGGTCTCTCCAAGATAGTCAGTTAAGAGCGTGGGGAGAGAACGAGAGGAAACTCACCAAAATGCTTTTCGCAATGGGTTCTTGGGATTTAACACGTTACTTTTCGGCTACTTTCTCGGATTTCGGATGGTCGCTAAACCGTTGACACCAAAGCATTTGATCCTCTATTTCGGACGGCAAACTATACCGTTTGATTTTACATACCGTCAAAGAGAGCTCATCGAATTTCAACTTACGGAAAATAAGAGTAGCGACAAACATTTGTGTCAGTGCCACTTCTGTTACCACGTTCGGGAGGCTTGTTTTCCACGTAGTTATCTAGTAATCATGAGAAAGCCTTCCTTCTTTCCGTCAACTGTTTACTCACTGAAGGTGCGAGTGCATTGATGACAGATTTTATGAAGGAGATGGATTGCAACGCTCTGTAAGCAAACCTGCGGCAATTAAACTGTAATTGATTTGGCTAAAACCTAGTTGAGTGCGGGCCAGTTAGCCGAACTGCAGATATTTCGCTTCAGTGCAATCAATGAGACCATTTTCAGTTACTTGTAGGTACCTTAGCATTGGATGCAATCCCAGTGATGTGAACAATCAAGGTTCTTTTCTGATTACTTTGCTTAGAAAGCTATGACGTGGGTACGGAAGTACCGTAGATCCAGTGGCCACAAATCGCGTCGCCTGCACTACAGTATATATATATGTATATATATATATATATGTATATATATATATATATATATATATATATATTACAACAGCATATAACAGTGATGGGACAATGAGGCAGAATTATTGATTAAATGAGTGATTAAAACAAGACTGGGTTGTATAACACAATGTTCATCTAATAGAGAATGGACTTTAATAGGTTTCTTATTATTAGTATCAGTATTATTATTTGGGAATTGACGTTAATAACCTGTTGCATGAAATGGATTGCAGGAACTCCACTGACTGCGTGACTGCGCCATGCCTGATACGGTCTCTAACCACTTGTGTGGACCATCGCGAGGCTCTTATCCACGGATACAGCACGTACCACCCTGACTAAATCACTCAGACAATTCCTTCATTCCTCTATGCCGCGTCATGAACTGACTACCTCGTAGATTCGTTCCAGATGCTGCAGCCACAGCACATAAAGCGCGGGTAGGAAGTCGGTCAAAGGGCACAGGGAAGCGAGGATCTGGGCAACGTAAGACAGTGAGCCTTTGCAAAGACACGAGTGGGGCAAAAGCGAGGTTTCCGCCGAAAACCAACCGGCGAGCCACAGCATTGCTCACCTAGTGATCAAACACGACCAAGCGTTTAATGTATTCGCTGAGAATTGACCAGGTCTCTGCTCCGTTTAGTAACATCGGCCTTATCGCAGCAAAATGTACCTTACCTTCCATTGATAGGCTGATATTCCGTTATTAGCACAAACGCTTAAGCCACTAGAAAGCCACACGGGCCTTGCTGGTACGCAAAATAACGTGCTCAGTGATGTGACTACCCGAGGTGACAAAGCTGTCAAGGTAAATAAACCGATTTCCAACCTTTAGGTT